ATACCGACTCATTGTAAGTTTCAGTTGGGTAATTGTTTTAATATACTTGTCGATAGAGTAATCTTGTCTGAGACACACAGGAACAGCATACTAAGGAAATATATTTTCTGTGACATCAAGAGTGGAAGAGTAACAGAACTCTCAGTAGGACAAGACAGTTTAAAATATTTTTGTTTTGTTTCAAATATCAACTGCTATTGGTGCTGTTCGTTATTTTGGTAAGCAGACTGTAAATCTGCCTACCTTAACTCATGTGAATGTAATTACGGCTCTTTACAAGAAGCATACCAGATTTTCTGTGAGAAGAGACTAGTAAGACCCAATTTACCATCCATAAAATTCAAATTCTTACCCTACATTAATAAAGACTGATTGCTAATTTTCCTGATAATTAATTGCCATACTATATTGTGTTTCTGCTTGATCATTTTGTTCTCTTCTCATCCCGGTTATCCCTAATCTTTGAGTTATCTAACTGTCTTTAAAATATTTACGGAATAAATCTCATGTAACTTCAGTGATAAGAACTTATTATTCACTCTTGCAATGACCTCCTGCTGAATTAACACATTTCACAATGGATGAGTTTCTAAGCTCTTTATTCTCCTTTTACAAAAACGAACAATAGATTTTTCAAACTTTGATTTATTTTTTTAACCAATTCATAATTTTTGTTTGCTCTGCTATTGCTGCAGCATTTTTGATATAAATGCTGCCCAGGCTGGAATGATGCAAGTAAAATCTTAATGTAATTCCATAGTATACAAAGAGAGTATTTTCCTTGATTTTAAAGTTATTTATTTATTGTATTATTAAGAGGTAATTTTTATGCTGTGGTATGAATTTATTTACTTGGAATATACTTTGACATTTATCTTATTTATGGCTTTTCCTGAAATTGATAATTGGTATTCACAGTAAGCCAAACTCTATGGCCCTTACTTGAGAAATACAGAATCTGGCCCTTTACTCATCAGTTTTAATATTATAGAGCAGTATTTCACAATAGCTAAACTGCTGTGTGAAAAATGCATTTCTGTAATTTTGCATATATTACACTAGAATACTAATTGAATTAATATAATTATTAAATTATGTTACTTTTTGTGTTGCACAATATCTATTTACAGCAAATTTGATGTACGTATCTTCATAAAGAACACACTGGGTGATTTCTGACCTCATATCTGTGGATAGGACTCCCACTGACTCCCCTGTGAAGGTCATAGATGGACAGGAGACCAGAATTTAACCTTATATACGTAGGCTTGGATTTTCAAAGAAGCCTAAAGGAGTTAGGCACCCATATTCCATTGAAATAACATGCACAATACACTCTGAAATAATTTTTCAAACTTGCAGGACCTTGTCCATAAGGCTGGTATAGGTCATGGAAATCAAAGAAGTTAAGTCCATGTCAAGTCCTCATCACTGTAAACCTTTCCATATATTATTTGCTAAGCATTAAGACTGGCGGACAGAGAACTCCTGAAAAAGTCAGCACTGCTAGAGGTGACAAGGAGGGGAATTCAGAGATTATCCTCATCCAGCTATTTCTGTACTACTCAAGTGAGCTGGAGCGGCAGTTAACATTGTGTATTTTTGATATTGAGAAGAAAATTGTGTCTTCCATTATGACTCGGCAAGTTTAGATGAGTGAAAATCAGCTAAGTAATTTTTTATATCCTATAGGGTATGTTCATATTGTGCATGTGAAAAGACTCTGTTCACTTCTTTGAGATACTAAGCTATCTGTAGGGTTTGGAAATAGAAGAAAGACCCGTAGAAAGAGAAAAGATCCCAAATTTATAGAACATTTATCCATATATCCCTAAGAATAAAGTAAGTCTTCCTTTGGGAACTCACAAGGGAACAGGTTTAGATAAAAATAAGACAAACTGACATTACACCTCTTTGTACAATTTGAAAATTGTAAGAAAAAAAAAGTGATATTTTTTAGTGTTGCAGATTTCAATATCCTTGTCCAGTTTAGTACCAGACATTTCAAATACCACTAATTTATTTCCATCCTGACCCTAAACAGCTCACAAAATTATTAGCTTCCCAAATTCTACAGACCTGTTCCAAATGGTCACTTCCCCTCACAGTCAGGGCAAAGCACCTACTAGGCAGGCTCTAGGACCATCCACTGTATCATATATACTGGACCATTTCTGACTGATATATCTGCCCAGGATGCATTACAGCACTTACACATTTACCTTTACATTTTTCTGAGTGAAGGGTTGTCTGCATCCCCCTTTCCTACAACAATACCTGAAAATGCTACTGCACCACTGAACTTAAAATTCCTGAATATTTGAATCCGTAATCATTATTACAATTTCCACAGAGATCATAGTACAACACAGTCCCCACAATACAGTCAGTGTCCTATAAGATTTTGCAATATTTTATTTTGTAGCATTTAATCATGGAAACTAGACTCTCTGATAAGTAGTTTGGAGGTTCCTGCAATTTTTTTTATTTATTTTTTTTATTTTTTATTTTTAGTTTGCAGCTCATCAGCTAACAAAGGCCCAGTCCTGCAGATAGGCTGTACACTCAAAATTCCCACTGGTTAGAGTCAGGGCCAGCTCCAGGCACCAGCGAAGGAAGCAGGTGCTTGGGGCGGCCAGTGGAAAGGGGTGGCACATCTGGGTCTTTTTTTTTCCGCTTCGCCGCTTGGAGCGGCAAAAAAGCTGGAGCCGGTCCTGGTTAGAGTGTCTATCCTCTGGGCAGTACCAAACCCCGGTATGTTAGATGCTAACTTGCATAGAACTTTCAGACACCATTTATATAAGGGATCTTTATAAATCACGTATATTGCAGAAAGATTAGATAATCTTGATTTAAGGAAACCAACATTTCCTGAAAAGCAAAAATTGTAGTATATTAAGGTTTTCCTAGTGTATTTTCTTTATGCAGCATTGTTAAATAGTTTGCTATAAATAATTTGCTAGCAATGGAGGATTTATTTGTAAACAAGACAATATAAAATTAAATCCAAAGTAATAAATCTGCTACTGTAATCAAAGTGTCAAATATTATTCTCCTCATACAAGTCACCCATTGACTTCAACTGGATTACTTAAATAAAGTGATCAAATTTTGGCCCAAAGTCTGGGCATCCTTGATGGGTCAACTGTAACAGTTTTAATTATGGGAATCAATCAATTTCATATAATTACAGTATACAATTTGATTTCACCAATATAACAGCTATGCGCGAAAGATTGTAAATCTGACACGCCTCTTAAACTACACTGGTGTATATCTATTGAAATCAGTGGATTTACAACATGGTAAAACTAGAATATGTGAGAAGCAAATCACTTCTCTTTAAGCCTGAAGAATATTTTAAAAGTTTATGTCTGCTTTCTGTATTCACAAATTAAGATGAACAGGAGATAAAATGGTTTTCTTTATAACTAACTTTCTTTCCAAGCACTAAAAAAAGTTGAAGCTCCATAATAATAGAACATTCTTCCTAGGAATAATGCCTCTAACCTAAGCTTCAAAAGTGTCAGCGAAGTAGAGAAGGTGTCTTTAATGCTGCAATGCAGCAACCATCTGTCTAACATTAACACCACATAAGTATGTACTCTCAATCTGTTTACATCATTCCCTTTATAAAATTAGCTATTTATCAACGCAGCCATTTTACTGATGTTATACACTACATGGTAATAACATTGTAAGAGGTCATAGAATGCTGTGATCAAAACTACTTTTATTTAGTATGGTACTCACATTTGTCCGTTGCTAACCATATGATATCCTAGCATAAAAGAACAAAGTTGAAGATTTGGATTACATCACTGATTTTGGTTCATTGATGCAATATTCTTGTATTACAATTTTTTCTGAAAAGTATTTGATTTCATTTCAGCTATCCTAAAAGTATGAATATCTCTGCTTACTTATGTATTAACTGGACATGTATGTGTACTGTACCAGAGTAACAAGTAGTTTCAAAATGCACAATAGACTATATAAGTGCATTGGCAAAAGAGAATGCAAAATAATGGCTATTGCTCTAAAATTAATCTGCTGTTCTTTCTGAAAATCTAGAAACTTTAAAAATACTTATAAACAACTGGTTATATATGTTTTCATGTCAATGAGATGAAAAAGTTTAAATATCAACTTTTAGATTTGACAGATTTGATAGATTGCCATCTACATTAGACATGAAAATACTGCTATGCATCTTTCTATTGGTTTGGTCATAATGTTGGAAAAATGATATGCTATCCACAGTATAATCCAGTGATACTCAGACCTCAGTGGTTCCGGAGCCAAATTACTGATCAAATTATTCAAAAGAGCCACAGTAGTGTGAATTCATTGTTTCATTTACTATAGTACTATATATTCATATTTAAACAGTTGACAGGGGAAATATTTAGTTTATATATGTATATTATTCTCACAGCAAAATGACTGACCGAGTATTATTATTTTATCAACTACAATTGGTTAATAACATAGTAAAAACATTCTGATTGGTTAATAACTTAGACTGGTTAATAATTAAATCACAGAGTGTTATTGTATCATGTGCTGCAAAGAACTGCAAGAGACGCATTAAAAAGCCACTTGTGGCTCGGGAGCCTTAGTCTGAGAATCATAGGTGTAATCTACAATACAGTAACATGATTGGTATAACCTAATAGCACAAATGTACACAGGGCACCTAAGTTTAACCATATTGAAATTTCATTTCAAAATTCTCATATGTGGTGCAGACAATAGCCAAATTATTCTGGTGACTCCCTGTATGAAGATATTTTCACTAGGAAAAAAATCCATGTGATGTCATTCTAATCTTGTGACCTTGCCTGTAGTAAAGCAATTTGTCATTACATATGTAATATGCTTTTAACTTAGAGCACTGAAATACCTGCAGAGTATTTTGTTATGCATTACAAATATTAATTTACTGTTTAAAATAAACATATTGATTAAAAAACAGTTATGTGGGCTTTTATTTACAGAAGCTAAATGCATCCAGCTCATCTGAGGGTAGTACAGTTGATATTGGACTTCCTCAAGAAGGAGAACAGCCAGAGATAGAACCTGAAGAAGCTCTTGAACCGGAAGCCTGTTTTACAGAAGGTGAGTGGTGCAAATTGTTGTCTAGTGGAGTGTTTTGCTTCCACAAACTACTCCCCACTAGTGCCACCAACAGTACTAGCAACCTCAAGAGGGGGTATTGATCATGTTCCCAGTTCCCTTTTGCATTAGTATCCCCTTCAGAGGTGTTGCAGCAGGCATACAGCTCTGCAGGTTCCAATGGTGCCTAATAGGTATCATAAAAATATGTTATACGAATCTTATTTTTCCTGCAAAAGGTGAGACTAATGTGCTGAAGAATTCAGGGGGACACTTGTTTACAGACATCCCTTAGAATAACTCTAGAGTTAGTCAAATGGATATCAGTTAATTAATGCTTCAGAATACATTGTTACCTTATTTCCATATCTCACAACTTAATATCACATTTGCCAGGCTGTGTACGGAAGTTCAAGTGCTGTCAAGTCAGCATAGAAGATCGGAAAGGAAAAATATGGTGGAATCTTAGGAAAACCTGCTACAAGATAGTTGAACACAACTGGTTTGAGACCTTCATTGTCTTCATGATTCTCCTCAGCAGTGGTGCTCTGGTAATTGCAATGTGAAAAAACTGAGATATATGTTAACATTAAGTGTTTAGAACTGTGGTTAATCATATAGATATCTTTAACATAGTTTTTCTTCCACTGAAAAATTCCCAATTCAGAAATGTCATCATATCTCCACAGAAGTTGTCTCAAGAAACATTTGGCATTTAAAGTAGTATATATAGAAGTTCTTGATGGCTATAAATGCAACAAGAATGGAGAACTGAATATCAGTTGTATATTGAAATAGGAACCTAATTATATGAGCCACGCACCAAAATATCTTCACTTACTCTTTATATGTTAATGACTTTTTTCTTTATTTTCCTTAAACAGAAATAGAATATGAATTGTTAGTTTCCTTGTACTTTTGTAATATATAAATGAACTACAACTGACCCAGGAGTGCACCATCAGCAGGTTGAAATATCATATGGAGGTCTCAGGTGCAGAAGTGATTAATTCAAATGTTTAGTTTCCAGGCTGGAATGAAAGCAGGTGTATTGCATAAACGCTTCAGTAGTTAATGCTCCATACTAAGTATGAATATACTGTACTAGCTACAATTGTGCTTAAATGCATGTATTATTGGCAAGTTTGTTGCACAGGTTCCCTGACAAGTGCAGACAGAGTTTTGCCTGAGAGCTGTTATAAAACCATGCTGAAGACTGCTTTGTTAGTTAATCTCTATAGCTTCGTTTCATTGCTATGATTATCAGAAAATCCCTGTTCACAATAGTCAGGACTAGATCCTGCTTGCAGCAACTTTGTTGACACATAGTAGTAGCTAGCAGAGTTCAGATCCCAATGTCAACAGGTTATTATTATCTAGGGGAAGAGGAAAAGGAGTTTGAGATTCAAAGAGCTCTACTGGAGTGAGCTTTCTGGATCATCTTCATCTTGGCTGAATGTGATAATAGGTAGAGACTTTCACGGATACAAAATGTGTACCTGCACTCCGATCCACAAAAATTCTCTGTGGCTATCTGCTATTTGCTGATGCAGATCTCCGCGGATATAAAGCAGATATACGCCGATTTGCAGGGCTCTAACTAACAGCTCCAGAGATCACTGTGCACCAGTGACGCAAGGCTGTGCCAAATCCTCGACCCCTAAACATCCCCCACTTCTCCACAGAGACCTCCTTCCCCGCCGCCCACTCTGCCCACGCCATACCTCTTTTCCCGCTCCAGCCAGGGAAGCTACAATCCTGGGACCTCATGTGCAGCACTGCTCTCCAGAGGGGGGCTCAGAGACCCTTATACAGCCACATCAGCTCTAATGCACGCAGCACTTGGCTCGCTGTAAGAGCATATGGTCGCACCCCCTTTGGGGGGTTGTAGTTTACCTTCTCTGCCAGAGCAAGTTGGGGACTACAACTCCCAGCATGCCCAGTGAACTATAGCCACATATTACAGCCCGCTGCTGCATAATTCAGAGAGCCGAGCTGGAGCCTGAGGGCTGGGTGACAGCCGCTCCATTTAGAAGAGCGTATGCTGCAGAGCTCTGTGCGGATACAAAATTTGTATCCCCATCCAAGCCGCAATCCGGAGAAATGGTCCGTGGATTTGCAGGGCTCTAATAATAGGCATGAAAGGAAGGAATGTGTTACAGAAAGTGAAGGAGAAATGGTGCCTCCTGTTTGAACTGGGAAGAGAATGTGTGATGTGGGGAAACTATGGTCTGTTATCCGCATATCACCTTACCAAAAAAAGCATACTGGATATTTTCCTCAGTTCCTTTGACTTACATGGCAAACCGTTAAGTCATATGAGCACTTCATATACAAATATTTTGTTCACAGGCTTTTGAAGATATATACATTGAACAGCGCAAGACTATCAAGACCATGCTGGAATATGCTGATAAGGTCTTCACTTACATCTTCATTCTGGAAATGCTTCTAAAATGGGTTGCTTATGGTTTTCAAACCTATTTCACTAATGCCTGGTGCTGGCTGGACTTCCTGATCGTTGATGTATGTATTCTCTTTTATATACTGTGTTACAAGTCTATCATGTAGATAGATAGATAGTCATTCACAATATTATGTCTCACTTATCTTGTGTCATTGATTTTTAAGCCAAACTCTCCATTTATTCCAGTGGGGAGCTCTGTTTAAAAACTTTCAGCACAATATGGCCCCAGTAGTTCCAATTTTGAAGGCAAAATTTACGGAAAGTTAACAGTAGCTTTGAACATTTTGCTGATATTCTTTGGACATTTTATTATGTTATTAATGTACATTTGTACTTTTTTTCTTCCTTTTTTCATTTATTTGCAGTATGGAAAGAATGTCATTCAACCTCTTGATTTTTATAGTATATGGATTTTTAATATTTGTTAATGTAGTTCTTTTGGGGCTTTTTTTAATACTCTAATCACAGTTGTGATAAATTCTCTACTCCTTAATCAGTATAATCTCAAAGTAAAACAGTCCCCCACTTTTTCCTGCAGCAGCATACCAGGGCCAGAAAAGTCTCTTAGGGGTTTGCGGCAGAATTTCCCAGGCACAGGTACTATATAGGACCCATATGTGTCCTAGATATCACAACTCGGGCTGTCAAACGATTAAAAAAATTAATTCTGATTAATCATGACATTAAAAAAATAATTGTGATTAATCACAGTTTTAATTGCACTGTTAAACAATAATAGAATACCATTTATTTAAATATTGATTCTGTTGCACAGCTTATCTCCTCATTCGTTACTAATGGGCTAATCCTGCCACCCATGGAATTCAAAGGCAGTCCAGTGTTGCTGGAGACTTCAGTACTAAGCTCTGCCCTTCATCTCAGCTTACCAGATTTTCTGCCTCTGACAGTGGAAAAAGTTGGCAGTTCAGTTTCTCCCGACCATTTTGTTTTAAACCCTTTATTTTACTTTTTTTTGTGCAGTTGCAACTTAGAATCTTCTTCCTCCTTTTCCTCGACCCCCAGATCATGTAAATAACAACATTGGTGGATCTGACACTGCAGTGCCTCCCTGATGAACTCCTCTACACCAACTTAGTCATGGCAGAGCTGTCCTGCAAACACCTGGCTTAAATCTAAGTGGTGCTCCTTATGAGAGACAGCACTTACAAACTCTAGAGAGGGTGAATTATGCCCTGCCTGTTCCCAGCCAGCCAGTGCCTTCTTGCACTGCCAGGGTACGGGGCTCAGAGTTGGTCCTGCATGTCACATCCCCACCCTTCCCTGGGGAGTTGCGGCTCCAATACAGAAAAGTTCAGTCAGGTATTTCTGAGCTTTTGCAGAAAGTGTCTAAGGATAGGGAGGAAGCTATCCAGCCCACTCAGAGGGTAAGTCCTGGAACAGACCTGAACTGGAGGAGGAAAAAAACCCTGAAAGAATCCAGAGGCACCTTCCCCCCTCTCCCCAAGATACTGAAGTGGGGCCTCAGATCCCTGGGGAAAGAAGCAGGGCGCCTATACAGTTTCCCTTCCTCCTACTATGAATTGTGGGATTCTCTTTATACTCAGGGGTAAGTCCTACAAACATCCGAGACTCCAGGTCCCAAAAAGGCAAAAGGAAGTATGTCCTTTGCAAGGCAGCGATTAGTGTTGTTAATGAACGAAGGGGGTGAAAATCAGGAGTTAAACCCCTTCTCTTTTGCCTCTTCCCCTGAGGGATTGTTCACTGGGGCTTGTCTCCTACACAGTGTCTTTTTCACAGTGTTCTGTCATGCTCACCCCACACCCTGCAGCATATCCGGGCATGTGGAGAAGCCTGGTCCTTGTGTTCAGGCTGCAGCCTAATGGAAGATGTGGCTGTCTGGCTTTCAACCCAAGGGCCTTCTGCCAGGGAAAGGGGCTCAGATTTCAGGCAGCAGCGGAATGGGAATTGTGCCTTCTGATCATCAGCTATAAACCCTGCTCTGCCAAGGAAAGAGGCTCAGACTCTGAAAGGCAGGAACGGGTCTTTCTCTCCATCCCTCCCTTTTTCCACAGACTGGCTCCACATTTAAGCCTTAGGAGCACTTGTTCCAGACATATGAAGATTCTGCTCCTCACAAAGCTGCCCCTTTATGGGATCACAGTAGGGTAAGGGAGAAATCCTTTTCCACGTTCAAAGAGATCCTGATTTACAGTGTAAAGCCTCAACTGGTAGCAGGTTGCTTCTACAGTACTTGGGTGCTAGCCAGCCTTTGGGAACAAGCTGGCAGCCTTTCTTGCTTCCGGGATATCTAGCAAGCTACTTTCACAATTGAGATCTGTAACCAGTAGCCACCCTCTGTTGTGTGGTCCCTATGCCAGGATGAATAGTGTACTACCTTCCCCTGTAATCAGCCAGAGGAAGAAATACCACAGATGCATCAACAAAAAAATCCTACAGGACTTTTTGAGGAGAGGGTGTCAGTCAGTGGTTTGCAAGGAACTCAATATTAATAAAATAACTTCCCTTTTATTAGATACATGTTTTCCTGTCAATGTCTCCTTTGAAGGCATCATAAGATTCAGATGAGGATATCTAATTAAACAAAGGTTAAACTAAAATGTTTATATAAAAACAAAGACATTTCATAAATTTGGGGAGCTTAAGGTTGGTACGGCAATAGCTCCACCAATGAAAGATACAGTCACCTTTGGAAGGGACTTCCTTCTAAAAGACCCCATAGACCAGGGGTGGGCAAACTTTTTGACCTGAGGGCCACATCGGCATTGCAAAACTGTATGGAGGGCCAGGTAGGGAAGGCTGTGCCTCCCCAAACAGCCTGGCCCCCACCCCCTATCCGCCCCCTCCCACTTCCCGTCCCTGACTGGCCCCCTCAAAACCCCTGACCCATCCAGCCCTCCCCCCCCCGCTCCTTGTCCCCTGACCGCACCCTCCCAGGACCCCCGCCCCAACCGCCCCCCCGGGACCCCAGCCCCTATCCACCACCCCCTGCTCCCTGTCCCCTGACTGTCCCGACCCCTATCCACCCCCCACCCCCAGACAGGCCCCCCCCCAGGACTCTCATGCCTATCCAACCCCCCTGCTCCCTGTCCCCTGACTGCCCTGACCCCTATCCACATCCCCGCCCCTAACTGCCCCCTGGGACCACAGCCCCTATCCAACCCCGCCTGCTCCCTGTCCCCTGACTGCCCCGACCCCTATGCAACCCCTGCCCCTTACCAGGCTGCTCAGAGCAGCAGGAGCTCGCAGCCCCGTTGCCCGGCAGAAGCGGTGGGCCAGAGTGCTGGCAGCGCAGAGCGCTGAGGCTGCGGGGGAGGGGTGACAGTAGGGGAAGGGCCAGGGGCTAGCCTCCCCGGCCAGGAGCTCAGGGGCCGGGCAGGACGGTCCCGCAGGCTGGATGTGGCCCGCGGGCCGTAGTTTACTGACCTCTGCTATAGACCATATGAATGATGACACACTGCACAGCAATTTCAAAGCCTCAGCTAAAGCCATTCAGACCAAAGTCTTTTTATTTTTATTGTATTTAGTAAAGAAAACCTACTTTGTGACAAACAAGTGGCTCATTGTCTAGAACTATGATACTTGCTTGGAACGAGACATTTCTGGTTCTGTCTTGGTGAAACCCTTGATGTGATTTGTGACAATTAATAGATTCTGACTTGGTAGCTACAAGACAGTCATGTTATAACCATGAATAGCCATTCAAACTGATAGCAAGGAGCTATCTGGCTAAACATTAGGGAAAGTAGTAGCTGAGATTGCAAAGAAGCCTCAACCCTCACTGTCAGAGCCAGCATAGCAACTCCCAGGGTATCCTTGAAGGGATTATTGCCCTGGCAGAGGGAAAAATCTGGAGCAGAAGCCTCCAAGGAAACATTGATAAACGTTCCTCCAAATCAACAAAATCCTCATCATAACAAAGACAAAAAGAGCATTTGTGTAGTGAGACCTCACAATTTCTGTCCAAGACTCATCCTTCTGATTCACCCTCTGCACCGAGAGTTCTCAGTGGCTGGTAGTTCTCACAGCAAGGCACAGGTTGCACAATATGCAGCTATAACCATGCATAGACAACATGCTAATCAGTATGAACAGAAAAACAGACAGCTGCTGGAAAGGATTCATAGTCACCAGTTCTTGAAAACCAAAAAGAGTTTTTAATCCTAGTGCAGAGAATTGCTCACCCAGATATCAAAAGAGATCATGGGTATGACCATAATTTTACCATAATGGTGAAGATTAGCAAAGATCTAAAACTACATTGCATCAATCATTTCTTGAGGGATCAGTTATCTCCAATGGCTAGGATTATTGGTGCCATGCATCAGCTTCATCCCTTGAGTGGGTTTCTCAAAATGTACCTGCTGAAATTCCTTCTGAGGACATAGGATCGTGCACTTGATACAGTGCAAAATTATGTGTCATCCTCAGACTGCATTTCAATGTCCCTTTGTGGGCAGAAAAGGGCAAACAAAATGCTGAAAGCCAAGCCAACTTTCACTCTAGAACTTAGCATACTCAATATGGAGAATTTTCCAATATTTTATAGTACTCATGCTTCTGGCTAACTTCAACACCTCAGTTGAGTGTCTTCAAAAAAAGAAAAAAAAACCCACACATGACTCTATGGGATCAGAACAGTGGTCCACCAAGTTCAGTCTGTGACAGTGACCAGTACCAACTACATCAGTAGAAGGTGCAAGAAACCACATAGTGGGCAATTGTCGTACTTGCAGAGTAAGTCTCCTCTTACCTCCCATGACAGATCGGCTTATGATCAAGTCACGCATGTTTATATCACTTACAAAATCAGAGAGTAACCAGGAGTCAAAGCTTCTCTGTGGCAATGGAAATAATGTCCTGGGTAGAAAAGAATCTGCTGCCTTTCAAGACAGTTCATGTAAAAGGATACAGAAAAGAGGAAAAGGGAGAGTTGTGGTCCTCCTCCTAAACCTCCACTAGCCCAGAAGGCACGTTGTATTTGATAGATACATTGTACTTACAAGATCTCTCGAAGCAGGGACTTCACTCAGACTCTGAATACCTACAGTTACCAGCCCCAGCATCAGAAGAGAGATGTAGTTCAGCATGGATTCTACATTAACCTCTGAGACAATTTGATATCCAGATAGAACTCAGCCAGGATGTTTTATTCATTGATCTGGTCAAATTCACATTTCTGATGTCAGGGGAAGCAGAGAGCTCTTTGAGACCTGGCCTGGCTTTTTGTTTGTGTGTGCCAAGCACAATGGGGTCCAGATCTATAGATAATATAAATATTATAATAATCGCAAAGATTTGGGGATCTCATCTACACCAGTATTTCTCCAAAGAGGTTTGGTTCGAGTCCTACAGCCAAGCACCTTAGAAATGTGGGTACCAGACATAGCGGCATTTGTAGGCAGGTACATTGGATTGTCCATATAAGTATCAGGTGCCAAGTTTATCACAAAGACAAATTACACAAGCCTGCGGCTTGCCTTTCTAGGTGCCATTACCTCCAAAAGTCAAGTTTTGAAATTGGTTCCCATATCCATGCAAGAACCACACTGCTTTTGTTATAAGGAAAATGTTATTCTTGTAGGTCCACAAACCTTTCTGTTCAAGATAAGTTCCTCTTTCCACAATTCCTGAGAAATAGTTCTCCCATCATGTTTTCCTAATCCTTGGAAGGTTGTGGCATGAATGGGCTCTCAAGCTAGATCGCTAAAGATACATCTGAAACATATGGAATACATACGCCAATTGTATCCTGTTAATCTCCTTCTATCTGAAATGCCAAGTCCTTAGGGCCTCAAGGTTGCTACAGTCAAGATGTAAGTATCTGGCACTAGTTGGCAGGCTAGGCATCTGAGAAACTATTCACAGAAATCTCAGGGGGGGGCAAGGAAGTATATGAGCCTCATCTGAGGAAGGTTTGCAAAGTAATTTTCCATTCCTTCACACAGGCATTGTTTCGTATGAGGGTGCTATTTGGTTGGTTCCCACATAGCTCCTTAGTTTATAAAGCTCTTGCTTTATATGGGGAGAACTTCCATTCCTGCCTGTTGTTCTACTATAATAGTTCTTTCCCTTCCTACTTCTGGGATTCATTGCTTACTACTTCCCATTAGTAATGAATGAAGAGAGAAGCCGTGTAACGGAATAAGAAATGTTTTACTTGATGAATTTCTTTCAGTTATCCATTTGTCCCTGTGGAAGCAGAGAGAGAACTGTCATGCATTGCATCCCCTTCCTGTCAGTTCTTTCTCTGCTTCCACATCCCTGAATTCAATCCACCTTGGTAGACTGGTAAATGACCAGAATATAAATTGAAATTGTTCTCTAAAAGGAGTCTTAGACATATATTATCTTAGGGTCAATTTAATATGTCATATCAAGTTGTCTTAATGCTAATAATTGGTTACTGGAGTGTTTCTTTGTCTGTGGAAGAACTCTTCTGGTGACCAGAGCTGAAGGACAGAACTTTGTTCTGTAGCCTCCAGCAGCTACATTGGACCATTTCCGAATTCCACAGTTGGGCGGGGGGCGGGGGGAGAGGTTAGGCCATTTGTAATGAATTCAGAGAGAAGTTGCTAACAGAAAATTATCAGATAAGAAATTTCTCATTTATCAGTCTTCAACAATGCCAAAAATTCTGAACAGCTCTGCTAGCTATGGCTCTTGAGTGAGACACTTTGGACACTAGAAAGTTACTATTGACTGTGGGCCAAATTAATCCTTTTCTGTTGTGACTGTTTACACCATATCTGTATTTGATCCTTGAGAGTATTCAGATTACTGTCAAGATCTGTGGACTTTCTGAAAAGTCTTATCCTAAACTGGCAGTTCAAATTCAGATAAATTTTTGGAAGTTCTTTTTATGTGTATGACTTCATTTCCACTGAATATTGACTATTATGTGTGAACTTATAAAGCATTTATATCCTTGTGCCAACAGGATTTCAAAGGTGTCATGTAACACACTTTTGTTCTACTTTGGCTGACTTAAAAGATCTCTCCTAGGTTATAGAATGATTCCTGGAGAAAGAGATCCAACCTTCATTCTTCTTGGGAAGTTCATGGCACACACCATTCCTTGCGTATGTATAGGAGGATATACAAGATGAATGAGCATTATTGCTTTTCTGTTTTTATGTAGGTCTCTTTGGTTAGCTTAACAGCTAATGCCTTGGGCTACTCAGAACTTGGTGCGATTAAATCCCTTAGGACATTAAGAGCTTTGAGACCTCTAAGAGCCTTGTCACGATTTGAAGGGATGAGGGTAAGACAAATGAAAGAACATGAAATATTGCATGCCTAAAAAGAAACCATGCATGCAGAATAAGGAATCACAAATCCATGCAGAAATGTCGCACTATTATCTTATCTCTTGCATATTTATCACTAACAGATAAGCAAAAGGCTTCAGTTGCTTATGTAAATTCATATGTTATCTCACACGTTAGTATGCTCATGTAGGTTATTTTACCTCCCACCTGATTTGGAATTTTCCTGTTGGGCTCTAGGACTTATCAACTGCATGGATGTATTGTGAATTCCTAAAACTATAGTACTAAGTTAAAGTTAAATTGATCCCATATGATTTCCTCTTCATGTGTTGTAATGTGTTTTTGTTAGAAGTTTGGATCTTTGTGTTTTCATTACGTAAATTAGTCCTAAGAACATAAGAACGGCCATTCTGGATCAGACCAATGGCTCATCTAACCCAGTATCCTGTCTTCTGACAGTGGCCAATGCCAAATGCTTCAGAGGGAATGAACGGACCAACAATCATTGAGTGATCCATCCGTCCACTCCAAGCTTCTGGCAAACAGAGGCTAGGTGCACTCAGAGCATGGGTTTGCATCCCTGGGCATTTTGGTTAATAGCCATTGATGGGCATATCCTCCATGAACTTATCTAGTTCTTTTTTTAATCTTGTTATAGTTTTGGCCTGCACAACATCCCCTATTCCACAGGTTGACTGTGTGTTGTGTAAATAAATACTTCCTTTGTTTTAAATCTGCTGCCTACTAATTTCATTCGGTGACCCCTGGTTCTTGTGTTATATAAAGGAGTAAATAACAGTTCCTTATTCACTTTCTCCATACCAGTCAATATTTTATAGATCTCTATCATATCCCTTCTTAGTTGTCTCTTTTCCAAGCTGAAAAGTGCCAGTCTTTTTAATCACTCCTCATGCAGAAGCTGTTCGATATTTCTAATCATTTCTGTTGCCCTTCTCTGCACCTTTTCCAATTCTAATATATCTTTTTGAAATGGGGTGACCAAAACTGCACATAGTATTCAAGGTGTGGGTGTACCAGGGATTAATATAGAGGCATTATATTTTTCTGTCTTGTTAGTTATCCCTTTCCTAATAGTGCCTAATATTCTGTTAGCTTTTTTGACGGACACTGCACATTGAGTGTATGTTTTCTGAGAACTATCCACAATGACTCCAAGATCTCTTTCTTGAGTGACAACAGCTAATTTAGACCCCATCATTTTGTATGTATAGTTGGGATCATGTTTTCCAATGTGCATTACTTTGCATTTATCGACATTGGACTCATCCTCTGTAGATTCATCTGAAAATCAATCTACAAAACAATTTAATATCTTTGACGGTCTTTGAACCAAACTAATTGTGAAGCTTCCTAATTTCTTCAGCACAGCTCTGTGACATCAATTTTTCTAGGGTATTTGTTGATGTCAGGCTGCCTGGAGTGGCTCATGATCGTGCATGCCAATCTCAGAGCTGACTATTACAAACTGGTTGTGTTTCTGTAATTAGATTTGACCAACCAAGTATCAGGTGTGAACTCTTCAAGCATTATAACAACCCTGTACCTTTGGGCACTCCAGTCTATCTTGCCCCCCAGGCAAGTCTGCCTTTGTGATAAATGGTCCCTTCCACCAAAAATGACAATAATATTCAGGTTACTCCCAGTCCCGAAGGACCAGTCACTTACTCCAGATCAATTGTACCATAGATCTCACACCACAGACAATGCTTATAGCCAATCCTATAATGAACTAACTAAAGAATTATTAAGTAGGAAAAAGAAATGAGAGTTATTTACAAGGTTAAAGCAGGTAAACATACGCACACAAATGTGTTGCAGTCTTAGATTTCAAAAAGTAATGGAAGCTGCTGTAATGTACAAATTCTATATGTCCTTTAGGGCTAAACCATGCTAAGCATCTTGGGGATCCCTTATGCTTAGAAACATTGCCGTCTCCAAATTTCAAGCAGGATAATGGTCACGGATTTTTATTCCTTTTCCTCAGAATTCAAACTGTGATGGGTTGAGGGTTTGTGCACATCCCCTTTTTGTGTGTGCGTGGAGCAATCAACA